AAGCACCTCTCCAGAGGGCATTACAAAAGATTATGAACCAGTTTGGCAAGTAGTGGGCCTGAGATAAGGCCAAGAGCTTGCTACCTGCCAAACCAGTTTATAATCTCTGGTAATGCTCTCTCCAGAGTGTCTCATGGCTGCCATGTGCCATCAAGGAGCCAATGTGGTTGCTGTTCTACATTTGCTTGGTGTTTTGGATTCCAGGTTTTTGCCCATCGTTCACAGTCAGATGAGCCCAGTTCATTTATCTTCATTTCTATACTCTGTTACTCCCCCAAGATGCAGTCATTTTCTGTGCTGTGGATTTTGGCTGGAAGTCTGGGCCCAGCATCCAAGATATGAGCAGATGCATTTTTGCTATTATCAGGTTATATTCCTTTTTCTTACAGTAACTTCTACAGTGACAGTGCGGTTTTCTTCTTCCCTCTGCCCTGAAACCCAGGAAGGCGATAATGACAGCCGGGCACTAAGCCTCCCAGCATTTTACTTTGGTCTTTTGTTGCAGAAGAGGACTTAGCATGGTGTAGTGACAACAGAGAAGAGGCGATTATCATTTGAAGACTAGCAGTGGGCTCAATGCGAGCAGAGCTAAGAGAAGAGATGAATGCTGCCCTCAAGTAGGGTTACCATACGTCGAGGTTTTTCCAAATGTGTCTTCTTTTTGGATCCTCTGATCTCCGTCTGGGTGTTTTTTTTTAAATATGATCAAATATCTGGGATTTTGATCAGCTCAGCTTCAAAGTTTTTGCCGGTACTTCCTGGCTTGCCCTAGCAAGAAGCTGTGTGGGGCTGGTGGGGACGGTGACTGGAGGTAGTGTTCACACACATGTGGTTGGCATGCAGGCAGGCAGGATGGTGGGAGCAGCCCTAGCAGCTGGATGCAGGTAAGTCTGTGGGGGGCAGGGGTTGGAGGGCCAGGGCTTTGGGACTACCTGGATGACTGGGGGGAGAGTGCATGCATGTGCGTGTGTGCTTATGCATACATGTGCATGAATGTGCACGTGCGTGTATGCACATGTGCGTGTGGACAGGTTCCTGCCAGCGCTGGAGGAAGCTGTCTGGGTGCTGGGGCTGCAGCAGTGCCTGCCCCTCCAGTAGAGGAAGGGATTGAGGGGGGCCCTTTGGGGCAGCAAGGAGCAGCGTAGCCAGACCGGTGCCTGTGCTCCCAGGGGCAATGCAGCTGGGAGATGCTGCAAGGCTGGAGGGAGCAGGGGGCTGATGGCTGGGAGCTGAGCACTGGCGGTGCTGTTGGGAGTGAGGGGCACTGGAGGGGGTGGGGGGAAACTGTGGGTCAGGCGTACGGGGCACTGGCAGCACCGGGGGGCTGCGGGTTGGGAATGAGGGGCACCAGCATTGCCCAGGGGGAGCGGGGTACTGTGGTTTAGGAGTGAAGGGCACTGGCGGGCTGGGGCGGGCTGTGGCTTAGGAGTGAAGGGCAACAGAATGGGCAGGGGCAGGGCAGTGGCATATCACCCCCTCCATGTGACAGGTGTCCTCTTTTTTGGAACTGGAAATATGGTAACCCTGCCTCAAGGATCTCTCAACTGAAATGCAAGATTTTGGTCCCTGGTGAACTGAGGAAAAGGCATGTTATTCATTGTGTTGGTTTGGTAGAATTCCTCCTCCAGGACCCTGGCAAATGCAGATGGCGTGGTGTATCATTATGCCATGCTCAGCTAGTACTATGGGATGGTACATTGGGGTGGTCCAGTCTGCAAATTTTCCTTTCCAAAAATCCAGGTTAGCGCTTTCCAAAGAACTTGGCGCTGGCCCCACTATACTCCTATTGCCCCTACTGGTAAAGCTCTCAGTGGTGGCATCTACACGAGACGCTGACTGCATAGTCGTTACTGCATAGTTGTATAAACAAGAACTAAATGACTGGAGTTACTGTGCAGTCGCGCCGAGGAACAGCTTTTTTGTGATGCTGACTGAGCAGTAGCTTACGACTACTGTGCAGTAGTGACGTGTCACACTTCCTGCCACACGACGCTACTGCATCTCGTGTAGATGCAGCCAGTGAGTTCAGGAGCTCAGGAAGCAAGGATTATTCTCTCCACTGAGATTATGGCTTCTTTCATGCAGCCAACCCACAGACCTAACAAGGCAATCTGCTTAAGATAGACAAGCTAAAAGCAGAAGTTGAGTAAGAAAGCGTAGTTCCTACAGATCTTTGAAAAACCTAAACACCTGTGCTATGGTTTGTATTTCAGACCAGTAGCTCAGATCTTCAAATGTGTTTTTAGGTGCTTAATACCTATTGATCTTAATGGCAATTACGGACCTAAATACACATGGATTCCTAAATTCCTTTGAGGCTCTTGGCCCAAGCCCTCTGCATAGAAAGGAACTGTAATAGAAATACAAGTTTCTTTTCCAGATTTCTGAGTACCAACCAATTTGCAATAGTCCCTGTTTGCAATGGTCCATAATAACACATCCACAGAGGAAAAGTCAATGAAACTATTTCCTCCTTTTAAAGCACAGAATCAATGTTTACACAGCTGAGCTAAATTATTTATACATATAATGTTACAGGTTTCACATCAGTGGTTTTTATTAGCATTCAGCAGATAAGAAATCATACCTGACCTACTTGTAAAAAAATAATCTGGGATCTCTCTCCAATGCTACAACATACAGTGGTGACAGGTGAAGGGGCTAATACAGTCTGTCAGTTTCTAGCTACATGAAGAAAAATCCCTCAGTGGAACCATAAAAATCAGAGCCAGGCTATTGCTGAAGATGCTTCCAAGCCACCATTTATTTGTTTTGGGAGCACTTAGTGCAATAAGACTTTGTTTGAACAGATGTTTGGATGCCAGGTCCTCTCTGTGTCCATTGCTCGTGATAACCAGGGGCAGAGTATACAAAGCACTAGGTCCCCCTCGTTACAAGCTTCAAATTGGCTTGCTCAGGAGAGTTTCATGATGGAGGGGTGCGGGGGCAGTCTCACCAATGGCCATCTGCTGATTGACAGTCTTACCTTTGTTCTGGTAAGCAAGTGATGCTCTTTCTTGCTAGGTCCAGGTCTATGGCAGCGATAACATCACCACCACTTAATTCTCCTTTTTAATCTTTTCCATGCATATATTTCATAGCACTCTCAAAAAGAAGGTAAATAGCTATTCACGTTGCAGAGAAAGGAAACCATGGATGCATCACTTTGCAGCTAATGGCAGAACTAGGAGCAAAATTAAAGTATTGCTGAAACCCAAGGCAGGGATTTGTCCAAGAGACACCGCCATGTAATGTCAAACGTGAAAAAAAATCCTTGTCCAACATGCAATGAACACACTCCTTATGTCAGCTAAGGGAAATTTTTGCATAACAATAACAAGTCGTAATATTGCTCCCTCTCTAAAAATGTATACTATTTTCTTCTCTGGCCTTCAATCTTAGCTACTGTGCACTGGCAAGCTGTAGATCCCTACAGTAATCTAGCTTGGCTTCAATGCAGTTTTTCCTAATGTCCCCAAGGCTCAACCAGCTATTGCTTCTAAACCAATGTGTCAAAGGCACTTACATGTCAGATAGGTTTCTTCTTGTCTTGCAATTAATGCATTTTTTATAAAGCCCAGGCTCTGGTTTCCTTTCATGTTACAGGGAGGATATCCTTTTCCTGTTAAGCTGCAGAAGGATTTTTCCCCCAAAGCAATGATCTCTTGTGTCCTGTAAATAGGTTAGATGAACATATTATCTAAACGACCTGGCATTAGTCACTGAAGCTTTCATTGTAGCACATGTGGAGAAGCTAGTTACTTTGCCAGAGCTTATATAGCTGTTTCAACTGTGTGAAATGGTACCCTACAATAATATTTGCTATTTACTCTGCAGAAACACTGGACTGGAAGAGTCATCAAGTCCAGTTCCCTGTGATCTCAGGAGGCCGTGTAATAAAGCAAAGATAAGAAGTGCTGTGGATTGGTTTTCATTACTGTCACACTCGCACTTGTCATGTTTCTGTAAATGCATTTTTACATTTACCACCACAGATAATTTCATGTTGTCTTTTATTTTTAAAACTTAAAACCAAGCAAAATCACACTGAGATGATTTGAGAAGCATAGTGCATGGCCAGTCAGCAAAATTAATCCCATATTTGGTTGTTTGCAAGGTTTGTTCTATCAGGGTGGATGAGCATTAATCGTATGAAGTAGGAAACTCATTTGGAGCCAATGTTAGGTTTTTTAAAATCAGCTGGAGAAGAGGCAAATTGAGTTAATTATATGAATGTGTTACAACTAAAAGTGACTTAGCCGATGCATGTAGATGCACATAAATGTGTACCAAGTTTCACTACTCGATGCAGCCTCTGAGGTCTAGAACAGAATGACCAGCAGGACCTTTGCTAGCTACTGCTCCTTGGTGCTACTCATGTAAAATGGATAAGGTATGGCTGGTTGCTCCTCTACTTCAACAGACCCTTGTAACTGACTGAGGAACATGTTCTGTGCAGGAAATATTTTCTAAGTCTAAAACACAGTGGATGTGGTGTGACAACAAGTTACCAAGGCATATGTGGTGCAGCTACTTTACCATATGAATGCTGGTTTGTCCTTCCTCTGTGGTGTTTCCATAGAAGCGGAGCTTAACCTTTTATGTGAAGATTATAAAAAACACCTAATTCAATTAAAATTAGACTCCAAGCATATCAGTACTTACTGCTCAAGAGTTATTATGAGATTTGATATCGCCATTGTTCCGACTGGCAGGCAGAATAGTTGAAATCTCAGGCAGTCGGGAAAATCTTTTTGTTGGTTAACTTACAGACCCCCCCCCCCCCC